AAAAATCAATAAAATATATTAAAAAAAAAAAAAGAGTTCGGGTCTCCCTGAAACTCTGGTCCCCAGGCCCACAGCTTGACCTTGTGCCACACCAAGTGGGGCTTCAAAGGCTGCTTCCAGGCGAAGGAACGCCATGGGGGAAATGTAACACAGGAAGGAATGAAACACTAGCGGGGCTGAGAGGGTGGCCCAATTCTTCCACTAAACCACTCCAGCACAGGCTCCCTCAGATAGACTCTGCGGCATCTGCTTTGCTGGCACTGGGAAAGGTGTTCAGAAACCACCCAGGGCCCTAACCGGTTTGGCTCAGTGGATAGAGTGTTGGCCTGCGGACTCAAGGGTCCCAGGTTCGATTCCGGTCAAGGGCATGTACCTTGGTTGCGGGCACATCCCCAGTAGGGAGTGTGCAGGAGGCAGCTGATCGATGTTTCTCTCTCATCGATGTTTCTAACTCTCTATCCCTCTCCCTTCCTCTCTGTAAAAAATCAATAAAATATATTTAATTAAAAAAAAAGAAAAGAAACCACCCAGGGGCTGAAAAACTTTGGTACTTTCCACGTTTCTCCATTTCTCCCTAATTTTCTTCTGCTCCTTGTAACCAGCCCTCAAATGCTAAAATAAGAGAGCATCTAGTCCTGCTCAGCACTACCCCTGAAGAGGCAAGCTGTTCAAACTGATGCCGCTACATCTCCCTGCCCACCCCCGCCCCCTCTCTGACAATACAGCCATCTGCCACCCTCACCTAACACCCAGGAAACCAAACAGCTGGTGTCAGTTTTGTTGTGATGTTAGTTGTGTGAAGAGGAGAAGAAGGTGTAGGTGAACAGTGCAGTCCAATCTGAGGCCATAAGTCCACTCACCAGAATCTCATCAGGCACAGCGTACTTGGCAATCTTGGTGGCCACTGTGGACCTGAGCTCATTCACCACTGCATCCGCGTCACCTACGTTATCTTTCAACACAATGAAGGCAAATGCAGCTGGAAGGAGAGCAAGATTTTAGGATGTGTTAGCCCAGCGGTTCTCAACCTGTGGGTCACCAACCTGTGGGTTGCGACCCCTTTGGGGGTCGAACGACCCTTTCAGAGGGGTCACCTAAGACCATCGGAAAACACATATAAAATTACATATTGTTTTTGTGATTAATCACTATGCGTTAATTATGTTCAATTTGTAACAATGAAAATACATCCTGCATATCAGATATTTACATTACGATTCATAACAGTAGCAACATTACAGTTATGAAGTAGCAAGGAAAATAATTTTATGGTTGGGGGTCACCACAACATGAGGAACTGTATTAAAGGGTCGCGGCATTAGGAAGATTGAGAACCACTGTGTTAGCCAGAGTGTTGTACACAAATCACCATAAGTTCAAAGGATTTCAAATCCTATGTTGATGATCTTGTAGCAGCTGGTCTCTTTAGCTGCATCCCTAAAGATGCATTGTCGTCTTCGTTCAAAAAGAAAGTGATTCTGTCAGTTCCTCTGAATGTCGCAGGTGGGTGGGCCTGGGTGGGTGAGAGCTTGGCACCATGGCTTTGGTGTTGACTGGCTGTGTGTGTGACCTTGAACACAGGACTTATCCTCTCTCACTGTCCTTGCACCTGTGAAATAGCCTATCACCTGGGCTCCTAGGAAGTTTGCTATCAGCTCCCATGAGGTAGTCCTGCACATGGCACCAAATTTGTGGGTATTGTCCAACATAGTAAGCACTAGCCACAGTGGATATCTAAATAAAAATATAAGTAAAAAAAATGCAGGTCCTTGGTTACATGAGCCCCATGATGGACAGCTCCGTCATGGCAGAGTCTGCTGGGCAGCAACGGCCATCCCATACTTTAGCACAGACACTTTGTCAATATCCTACCACGTTCCAGAAAAGCTTTACCGCAGCTCCCACGGCTACTGTAAGTACATGCATTCCTTTTTAATTTATCTGGGATAAATATAAATACCATAATCTTGTATATGGTATGACATCAGGATCTAATTCCATTTTTTGTCCATTTGAATAGTCACTTGTCCCAGCATCGTTTTGGACAGTCTGTCCTTCTCCTCACTGACCGGCAATGTCCTCCTCTCTCATACACAAAATTTATCCCACGGCTACTGTAAGTACATGCATTCCTTTTTAATTTATCTGGGATAAATATAAATACCATAATCTTGTATATGGTATGACATCAGGATCTAATTCCATTTTTTGTCCATTTGAATAGTCACTTGTCCCAGCACCGTCTTGGACAGTCTGTCCTTCTCCTCACTTACCTGCAATGTCCTCCTCTCTCATACACAAAGTTTATATATATGTATGTGCAGCCTTCCTTATTGTTTATTTGTATTTTATTCCTACACCAGTCCCACCCCATCCTAATGAATTCTCCTTCTGGCACATATCACCTAACATAGTCTGTAGTTTCACTGATCATGATGTTTATTGTTTATGTCTTTCTCTCACCTCTAATCTCTAACCACTACAGCATGACAGCTCTAGGGAGCAGGAACTTCTGTCTCTTTCACTTTCTGTGGTGTCTCAGTATCTACAACTGTGCCTGGAATATAGTAGGTGCTCAACAAATGTTTGTCAAATGCATCAATGAATGACTTTCCTGAATAAGCTACAAGTTGTAGATACTTAGTACAGACTTTCCCTGAAAGCCTCGTCCCATTTCCACCTGGCAAACTCCTATTCATCCCTCAAGACCCAGTTCAGCTACCTTGCACTCTGTGAAGCCTTTCCTGACTCTGTCCATGAATGCAGCTGTGGCACTTGCTACGTGTGAACAGCTGTTGGTCTCCCATGCCCACCTCACTAGGTTGTGAGATCTCTAAAGGGAAGAGCTGCACTTTTCTCTCCTTCCGGTATTTGAAATTCCAAACAGACTTTCCCTGAAAGCCTCGTCCCATTTCCACCTGGCAAACTCCTATTCATCCCTCAAGACCCAGTTCAGCTACCTTGCACTCTGTGAAGCCTTTTCTGACTCTGTCCATGAATGCAGCTGTGGCACTTGCTACGTGTGAACAGCTGTTGGTCCCCCATGCCCACCTCACTAGGTTGTGAGATCTCTAAGGGGAAGAGCTGCACTTTTCTCTCCTTTCGGTATTTGAAATTCCAAACAGTCTAGGCCCAAACCACTGGAGCTCAGAGGAAAGGCACCAAGCTAATACCTGAGCTGTCTGGGTAGGCCCACTGAGAGATGTTTATTGTGGATTGAATTAAAATTTTAAAACTACCAGAGCAACACACACTGATTACCAAAATTAAAACACAGTAGAAGTATATAAAATAAAACCACACCTTCCCTCCTGGCTCTCTCCCTTCACTCCACTCCTTAAAGGCAGAGCAGAATTATGATTGGGAGAGACTGTCCTTGCTCCATATTCTGGCTCTGCCACTTGCTACCTGTGAGGAAGGCACTTAGCCATGCTATGGCACAGGTGTCTACCCGGGACCTGGGGAGCTAGCAGTACCTGCCTCATGGCTGCGTCAGGATTGAATGGTGACAGCCCCTGCACACAACCCACAAGGAGAAGGTTCTCAGGGGCTCTGGCTGCTGTCCCCAGACACGAATTGTAAAGCTAACTCCTGGGTATCCACTGCCATCTTTTAGACCCTGGTGGGATCACACTGGACATGCTGCCACGTGCCCCCTTGTCGCTAACTGGCACCCTTCCCTGCCAGTCACTTGTATCTGTAACGAGATGGCAATAAAATGAGCCTGGATTGGTGAATTCCGAGCAGGGGTGGGTCAGGAAAGCCTGGATGTGGGAGAAGAAGTCGGCTGCGAGCCCGGAGGAGGCGTGCAAGGCTGACCTCAGGGACTAGGGAGCCAGGCTGATGGCAGAGGCATGGCACAGTGGTCAGATGAAGCACAGACAGAGAGCATGGGCACAAATAAGTGCACAAAAGCTTTCGCAGATGGCTTTAGAGCTTAGCAAGAGCAGCTAATGGGTTATGTACTACAAATGGACAGATGCTCAATTTTGTAAGAAATCGGGAAAATACATTCATCATACTCATTATGTACAATTCTCCCCCACCAGCCTGGCAGACATGAAAAGCCTTGGCAATATCAGCCGCTTAGGATGCCAGGGAGCAGTGCTGAGAGCTGCTTACGGGAGCGTGGCTTCACTCCCAAGGGTCGTGGGTTCGATTCCCAAGGCCTTGAGAGTCACACATGAAGACCTGCTCCCATCTCCACCCGCTCTGGTCCCTAAGAGCTCCCCTCAGCCCAGTCTCCTGTTAACAAAGGGAAAGCAGCCTCATGGGCACAGCCTTCTCATGGCAACGGAACGTGATTTTTTAGAGCACTGACATAAATATCAATTTTTACACAGGGCCAACTTAGAGCAAGTGCCGAGCAAATACCGGAGCAGTGACACACGTGGAAGGGAGACCCGTGACCTCTGGGACACATGACGCCGACTGTCTCTGACGGTAGGAGGAGGAGCGCCCAGGCCGGACCACTCGGCAGGCAGCTGAGGTCAGTCCACCCAGCAGTGCAGCACAGGGTCAGTGGATCTCCAGGTCACACAGGGCCAGTGTGGCCATGGTGCCCCTGGCATCACAACACTCAGGTGACCCTGCACCTTCCCACCTGCTTAGAAACCAGCAGACTTTGGGACAAAGTATGTCCACGGTACAGAAGACAATTCTGGCCCTCGCCGGTTTGGCTCAATGAATAGAGCATCAGGCTGTGGATTGAAGGGTCGTGGGTTCGATTCCCTGTCAAGGGCACATACCTCGGTTGCAGGCTCGATCTCCGGCCCTGGTCAGGCCACATGTGGGAGGCAACCAATCATTGTGTCTCTCACATGGATATTTCTCTCTCTGTCTCTCCCCCTCCCTTCTCTCTAAAAATCAATAGAAAAATATCCCCAGATGAGGATTCACAACAACAAAAAGAAGACGTTTCTGATCGCTTGCTCTGCATTGCCCTCTGCGTGTCGCTGTGCAGTGGGAACCTCAGGTCAAATTCCTCTAAAAGGAGTCCCAGAGCAGCAGAGGAGGCCGCCGGGCACAGCCTGGTCGGCCAGTGTAGCTGTAGAGCTGGCACTGGGTCTGTGCACCAGCCTGTGCAAGGAGATGCGGTGAGCGAGGCAGGGCGTGTCACCCTAAGTCCTCTGTGATGGCGCTGTCAGTCACCACGCACAGAGCAGCGAACTCCCCAGCTCAGCTGGAGCCAAAGAGCTCAGGGCTGCTTGCGGATGCGTGTCCTTAAAGGACAGCAGAGCCAGGGCATCTCAGAAACCTGGCCTTAGTCTAACAGGCATACTGCTCAGCCTCCTCACCCCAAATCTGCACTTGAAAGAGAAGAAAACCAACAGCTTCACCCATAAACACCAGAGGCTGTTGTCTCCAGAGGCTGTTGTCTTTACGGAGGGGCTGTGATGGGAGTGAGACCAGAGTTCCTTCTGCCTCTCACCTTCTCCTTTGATGTCGTGGGGGTAGCCAATGACAGCGGTCTCGGGCACTTGAGGGTGGCTCGCCTGCACAGAACAGAAGCAAAAAGGCAAAATATGTGGGAGGGTGAACACCTGACACCGCAAATGACAGCCCCCAGCCGGGCAAACATGGCCTGTGCTCACCATCGCATCCTCGACCTCTGCAGTGCCCAGCCTGTGGCCGCTGATGTTGATGACGTCGTCCATCCGCCCCGTGATCTGGTAATGGCCTCCCTCGGTTCGGAGAGCTCCGTCTCCAGTGAAGTAGTAGCCTGCACCCGAGGAGGGAATTCAGAGCCAGCACCTCCCAACCAGGACCCAGCGGAGCTCGCATCCTTCCTTCGCGGACACAAGGGGGCCTTGTCCCAGCCATGCTCTACCGAAGGAAGCTCGGAAGCCCTGCACCCTGTCGGCCTCCTGCCTGCTGGCCCTCCCTGCAGGAGCCACTGTCCAGCTGTGCCGCGTCGCTGTTGCTAGGGCAAGGGCAGATGGCTCTGACACAACCAAATGCAATCAAGGCTGCAAATGTCTGGGGAGCGGAAGACATTCGAGGAGCGCACTCAACTTTCCCCCAAAGTGAGTCTCGTTTAGACTCGAGACTAAAGATCATGGGTTCCAATAGCTATACTATATATGCAAACTCCCAACCAACGACACAAAAGCCACCTGTGGGGAAAATAAGCCGGAAGAAAACGTTCAGCCATCCTGACAGTTTCCCCGACAGCCTGAGGCGTCCACACCATGGGCCATGCACTCAGGAGTCTGCACGCTCTCCCCCTCAACCCCAGCACATTCCCAAAGGGAGTCTTTTCCCGTTTCAGACATAAAGTCAGGGAGGCAGAGGGGGAGGGAGCAAGACTTAAGTTCATGCCTCAAAGCACCTGCTCTGAACCTGCATGAGGGACGCTCACAGGCACTGTCCCCTTAGAAACATGTTCTGAGAATAGGGCTCCAGCAGGGTGTGGAAAGGCATCCCGCTCACCTGGGTAAACCTTGAAATAGGTCTCTAGGAACCTCTGGTGGTTTCCGTAGATGGTCCTGGACAGGCCCGGCCAGGCCTGTGAGAGGCACAGAGCCCCGGAGACATTGTTGCCCTCCAAAACGTTCCCCTGCAGACCAAGGAGACATGCATTGGAAAATAAGGACAGATTATGCTTGAGAAGCAAAGAACTGAAATCAGTATCATCCCCCTAGCTGCTTGGCTTGAGGCAGAAAAATAGCAAGTGTGCCCCAAAGGAGCTGTCCAGAGCCTCTTGCTTTGCGAGGAGCCCTCCTGGAGAGGGCTTCTGCCCCACGTGGTGACTGCATCCACCGTGTCTACGAGAAGCCTGAGGTGCACGCTGCTGAGGACACAGGCTCCTCCCACCACCTCCCAGGCCCTGGGCATGTGCGATGTGGGCGAGTGGGCAACGGAGGCCAGGAAGACAGGAAGAAACACCAGGGAGCTCAGTGGGGTGTGCGTGGAGGAGGGGAGGCCCTTACACACCTTGTCATCCATGAGGACCGGGATAATGCCAAAGAAGGGCCTCATCGCCATGGCAGGGAGGATTTCCGCCCCTTCTTCCGAGGGCCGTGGTGCGATGCAGATGCCGCCTGTCTCTATGGGGATGACAGGGAAGAAATGCCGATGGGCTGAGGGGCTAGTGCCACATTTATCCAGGCCAACCCACCAAGAATCTGGGACAGACTGGCTGGGACAGAGTGGGTGGAACTGCCGATTTGGAGCAAGGAAACAGCCCCTACTGTCACAAGGACTTTTCTCTGAGACGAAAGTAGACTTGGATCCTGGTCCCCTCCACTGTGGGTTGGGAGTAGGCCCAGGCAGGGGGCTCCGGCCCAGGTGCTGTGGCTCCATAGCCCCGTGGGTGCTGCCTCTCCTCCTCCACGGCCCCGCTGGCCCCGCCCTCACGTCAGTGGAAGAGGTGGAGCCCACCTACTCGCACAGGAAGATGAAGAATCGCTTCTGGACCAGTGCCCCAAACAACAAAGCCAGAAGCCCACAAATTCGGTATCGCATTATTTCTCTTCCTTCTGTCAGCCTGCATGGCAATACCTCACAGGACTCAGCTGTAACCTTAGTCCTGTGCCCTCCTGAATGCCCCAGTTTTCTGGCTTCCGGAAAGACAAGGCCTCAGCTACATCAGTGGTGGTCGCCTGCCCCAAACATCCTAGTAAGTCAGATACTCAGGAGACGAGGGGGCAAATCTAAACCAAATGCCACAGAAAACTCTTTTTCCCACTAAAATTTAGGTTTAGACTTAGAGTCCCTTAAACAGCAGGGCTCATGCTCATCGCTCACATGCAGAAAGGGGCCCTCATGAGGAGAGGGAACGTTTAGCTGAGTGCCTACTGCATGTCAGGCCTGGGGCAACATGAGTGAATGGTCTCCTTTCATTTCATCCTCATTCAGAGCCTGGAGGGAGAACCCCATTTTACAAATGAGGAAACTGAGTCTCAGAGAAGTCATTACACAGCCCAAGTCTTACAGCTGCAAAGCCAGGCTCCCCCTCTGAGCTTCAGCCACCAGGTTTTCCACAACCACCTATGTGGAGGGCCGAGGCGTTCGTGGTGTTGATCCCACATTCACACGCCTCACGCCTGAGCCCCCCCACTCGGTGCTCGGCCGCGTGCTCTCAGCGCAGTAACACGAGAGCACAGCTACTGCAGGAAAGGCCCACGTGCCGCGCCCTGCACGGGTTCCCAGGGGGCCCTGACGCTCCTCCTGGGAGATGCTCTCACCTGTCTGCCACCAGGTGTCCACCAGCGTGCATTTGCGGTCCCCCACCACTTCCTGGAGCCAATCCCAGGCCTCGCGGTTGATTGGTTCTCCCACTGAAATCACACACAAAAGAAAAAAAGACATTAACAGGCCGCAATAGACCCCAAACCCAAAAGGAATAGATTGTTCAGGGGGAAACAGCTCTGTAATTTTCCTCAAGGGCATAAAAAGGAGGTTTAAAAAAGCACTGAAATCTGTCACATTATGGCCATCAAAGAAATAAAAGTTAAATGGGGTGTTTTTTACCATTGGAGGGTCAAAAATTTTTTTAAAAAATGACAAGAATGTAGGGGAAAGAATACCTCGTGCACGGTAGGAGTGTAATTTGATGCAGCAATTTTGGGGAACAATTTGGGTATTTCTCTTAATATTTAAAAGTGCATACATCCTATACACCTACTTTGGTCAACTGGGGCAGATTACATTCAAGTTACTATAGGTCTATTCTATTACTTAGAAATGTCACTCCTGACACACACTCCACAAAAACGGTGTTCACCAAAAACGGACACAGACAAGAATGCTCACAGTGGCCAAATACTAAAACACTATCCACCAAGAGCGGAATGGAGAAATAAAATGTGATGGATTCATGCAGTGAAATATCATACCCTACAGCATGAAACTGAGTAAGCCACCACTACCCCCACACCAGCAGGGATGAACCCCAGAGTCACAACCCCAAGCAACTACAGCAGGCACAAGAGTAATGCATGCAGCACAAGCCCATGTATATGAAGTTCAAGAACAAGCAAACCAATCCACGTTGAGAACAGCAAAGTAGTGGTCATATTTGAGGGCTCCTGACTGGGAGGGGGCATAAAGGGGGCCTTCTGGGTACTGGAAATTTCTATGGATTGATCTGCATGTGGTAACATATTTAGACATATATGTAAGCAGTTTGAAGCTGAACACCTGACATTGTGTATTTCACTATATTTTATACCTCAATAGAAAGGGGGAAAGTGCTTATGCCCCAAGACTCTATCGCTGATTCTCAGTGTCTACCTGCTGGGGTCTGAATGTGTATGTCTCCCAAATATATGCTGAAATCCTACCACTAAGACACTACACTAATGACACACCCACACCAGACTAGCATTCAGCCAGAACTTGCAGGTTCTGACATACTTTTGCTAAAATACTGAAATGCTCTCATGCTGGTTGTCTCTTCCTTGGGACCACCCATGAAGCAGCAGCTAACCAAGGCCTGTCCTGACTGGGGTCTTCCATGCTGGTCACCAAGGGGGCTGGGTTTCATGTGTACCGCCCCTGCACTCACGTATGCCCACAAGGAGGCAGGAAGATGCCACTGCAGCACTGGGTGATACTGGGAAACTGCCAATAGCCCCAGTAGCCAACCACGGGGACGTGACTACAAGGACCATGGCAATTCCCACAGGAGGGTGTGAGCAAGTTTTCAGAGCCATGTGGAAAACTCTGCCTATTGTGAAGTTAAAATAAACATCACGTTATAACAGTACAGTGTGATGACACTCATGATAAAGAAATCATCTCATAGCTGAGCTGTGTCTTTGCACAGGAATATAACTTTGAAGAACATGTTAGAAGGTATGCAAGCAACAGGGTCCCCTGGGGCAGCACTCACAGAGGACATCAGCTTTCATGGCAAAGTACCGAGTTTGCTTCTTATAATAAGACTAGTGGCCCGGTGCACGAAATTTGTGCACAGGGGCGGGGGGATCCCTCAGCCCGGCCTGCACCCTCTCCACTCTGCCCCTAACCACTCTGCCTGCTGGCCTGCTCACCCCCAAATGCCTGCCCCCACCAGCTTGATCACCCTCAACTGCCTCCCGTGCCAGTGTGCTTGCCCCCAACTACCCCCCGTGCTGGCCTGCTTGCCCCCACCTTCCCTCCCCACTGGCTTGCTCACCCCCAACTGCCCCCCTGCTGGCCTGCTCACCCCCAACTGGCCCCCCTGCTGGTCTGCTTACCCCCAACAGCCCCGCCCCCCCATCAGCCTGATCACCCACAACTGCCCTCCCCTCTTGGCCTCTAACTGCCTCTACTTCGGCCCTGGCACCATGGCTTTGTCCAGAAGAACGTCTGGAAGGTCTCCTGGAAGTTCTCCCAGTCTAATTAGCATATTACCCTTTTGTTAGTATAGATAGAGGCCAGGTGCACGGGTGGGGGCTGGCTGGTTTGCCCTGAAGGGTGTCCCGGATCAGGGTGGGGTGGCTGGCCAGCCTGGGTGAGGAGCTGATGGCTGTTTGCAGGCTGGTCAAGCCCCCTAGTGGGGACCCTCACCCCATGGGGGTGTGGCCAGCCTGGGTGAAGGGCTGAGGGCCATTTTTAGGCTGGCCACACCCCCTTCAGGGTCGGGGGGGTCCCGCTGGGGTGCCTGGCCAGCCTGGGAGAGGGGCTGATGGCCATTTTCAGGCTGGCCATGCCCCATGGCGACCCAAGCTCCCGGCCTCTCCTTTTTTCTTTTTTCTTTTTTTTCAGCGCCTCCTTGAGCGGAGGCCAGGGTGGGCTGGAAGCAGGTATCTGGGATTTATTTATCTTCTATAATTGAAACTTTGTAGCCTTGAGCGGAGCCCATCGCCAGCCAAGGCAGGTGGGAAGCTTGGCTTCCTCCATCACCGGGGGCAACCCCAGCCTCCTGCTCACTCCAGCTCTGTGGCCGCTGCCATCTTAGTTGGGTTAATTTGCATATTTGCTCCTGATTGGCTGGTGGGTGTAGCGGAGTGGCAGAGTGATGGTTAATTTGCATGTTTCCCTTTTATTAGTGTAGATTATTCCTGTGTTACTTATAAAATTTAAAGTTAAAAAATTCTCTTAAGAAATGTAAGTCTTGAGTGGGCTAGATTCTGCTGACTGACTGGTAAGATTAAAAAAAGTCAAAACACCAAAGGCTGAGGGCTGTGAGGGCTAATCCAGCCTAGAAGGGGCCTGAGCTATGACCACAGCAGGAGACAGCACCAAGCTGGCCCTGCCCAGGTATGAAACATACAGTTTGCCTGAGAGCCAACCGCCCAAGTTCCACAGCAGCCAAGGAAACCCCAGGAGCAGCACAGAGAGGGACCTTGAGGGAGGGTGGGCATCCTGAGCTTGGAGGGGGCAACAGGACACTGTAGGCAAGGGGGGCAGAGTGAACCAGGGCCCTACGTCCTGTGCCAGCGCCGCTCACCTACATCGCTGACAAGTAACGTGTGCACACCATCACCGAGCTACCTTTTCCATGGACAAAAGTGGCAGAAAGACACATCCCATGAAAAACCACCAAGCAGATCTGTCTCTTCACCACAGAGCATGGAGGGCCTCCCACCTTATTTTCCTTCCTGACCACACCTGGCAGCTCGTATAGGGACACCAGGGAAAAGCAGAGAGAACAGGCAGAGCCTCGGAGCTACCCTCTGAGTTAATCCCATATCCTTTCCCCAAAGCCTTCATGTGCCTTGGCAACCTCAGTTAAAACTAAAAATGGAGATAACCTGTACTCTGCCACCACTTGCATGGAAATATCTAGAGTGAGAGCAGTGCACAGCACGGAATGACATGTATTACAGGGCTTGGGAATAACCGGTGCCCAGCATCATGGGAATGCTCAGTGACCAGCAGTTGACTTCCACAGGGCAATCCCATGCAGCCACTGAAGAAAGGGCTCAGCCCTTACCTTACAGAGTTGGTAAGGATTCATAATAAGGATGCCGCCCGCTGGTGTAGCTCAGTGGTTGAGCATCGACCCATACTCCAAGAGGTCGCTGGTTCAATTCCCGGTCAGGGCACATTCCCAGGTTGCGGGCTCAATTCCTGGTAGGGGGTGTGCATGAGGCAGCCAACCAATGTTTCTCTCTCATTGATGTTTCTATCTCTCTCTACCTTCCTCTCGCTCTAAAAATCAATAAAAATATACTTTTAAAAAAAGTATTTCAGCACTGAAACAGATCTCAATGGTACAATGATAATAATAATAAAGCCCATAATAAGGATGGGTGCAGCAAGTGTCTGGAATGCTGTGCCCAGACTGTTAACAGCTGTGGGCTCTGGGGAGGGGCTGACGGGCCTCTGCTTCCTACTCGATGGGGTCTGACATTGTTTGAATTCACCACGGACACAGACACGTAGCTTTTGTGATTAAAACCACCTAGAAGCCTGCAGTGGCTCTGACAGACAACACCCACACCCTCTCCAGCGACAGAGCAGTGCTCACCTGACCCCAGAGTCCGCAGGGACGAGCGGTCATACTTCTTCACCCAGGTGTCGCCATATTTTATCAACAGCCGGAAAGCCGTTGGGGCTCCATAGAACTGATTGATCTTCAACCTCTGCACCACTTCCCAATACCGACCTACAAAAGGGCCCCAATTCAGTCCATCAGAGAGCCCACCAGACACTATCTATTTTCACCCAATTTAGAGATCAGTCAGCAATACTGGGTACTGGACACATGCAAGCCTGCATTCAACACCCATCACCGGGATGGGAAGGGAGACCTCTGGGAAGGGGCTCCCTGTGGCAGTCAACCCCCGGCACCCCCCCCCCCCCCCCTGGCCGGCCCCTTTTTAAAAAACCCCCCCCCGGCCCTTGGCCCCCCCCCCCC